CAAGCGATCCATAACATTTTTTCCCTATTACCCCACCTCAAATCATGAGCATTTGATCTGTTCTTAAGCTGTAAGTCTAGACTTCGCGTTTCCTGAAAGAAAAACTGAAAAGATGAGGGAGAGCAGTATGATAAGGATTCCTACTCAGGCAGGCAAATAAAATAAGCGTCACAGTTTTTAACACTTGAGTTTGCCAACCACAGAACACAGGCTTAAGGTTGATCTGAATTTTGGCTCCAAGTCGTGTCAACATGGACACCAGAAATACCCAGCAGGCCCTAGCCTCACCTGTGACACTTGGGCAACCTTGTGCTTTTAAAAGGTTTAGGTTTTGGTTCTTTTTTTTCCTATAGCCATCACCAAAATTAATCTGCTTTCTAACACCCATGTTCATTAGCAAAAATCCATTAAGTCATCCACTGAAGAGCTGGAAGCAGAATTGTAGTAACCGCTCACTGCCAACATACAGTACCCAAAAGGATTTCTGAAGCACTGTAAAATAGAGAGGTAAACAACCTTGAGAATACTTTCACTTCCCAAGCCAAGCGATCCCAATGCCTTTTGTCCTAAATGACTAAATTCATGGGGAGAAGTGAAAGAAAACCCTTTACAAAGCATGTTACAGCTGTGCAGATCTGTTTTACAAAATAAAGAGGTAAATAAGCTCCTGTATATATATAAATATACACAGGAGCTTATTACAAGCTCCTTTATATATATAAATAAGCCCTGTATTGCTCACTGACACTTTTTTCCAGAAGTTTCACGAGTATCATGACCTCATGTAACAGATGAAATACACAATTCTTTATCTTTCTCACTTCCAAAGAGTCATTAAGGCAAAAGTCTGGAGAAACAGTCCCCAAAACCAATATTTAAAAAATAGGTGGTGGCTCTTAGCTGTTCAAAAACTTAAGAGATTTATTTATGGAAGTCCATGCTAAGTTACCGAACTTGAAAATATATCCAAAAAAGCAAGCATCTGGTTTCCATCTGTCCTCATGGGAACCAGGAAAAGGCTTTAACTGAAAAATAAAATATTGGGGCGCAAAAGAGCAAGAGCTCAGGGAGGAAGGGAGGGACACATACAAAGAAAAATTCCCTATGCAATGCATTTAATGTTTTAAAAAACAACAAACTATCAAGGAGCTAAAATTTTAAGTTACTAAAAGAAGAAAAACCACACCCCCAATTTTTAATCCATATCTAATATGAAAAAAATGAGCAAATAACACACCAAAACTGTATTTTTATTACGGAGTTTAAAAATTATAACCTTCATAATGAACAGTGAGACTTGTTTACAGAACTAATTAATTCTAAAGGCATATACCTGAAAATACTTGCCAATACACGCAAATGTTAGGCACCTACTAGGGTACATGGCTGGAAAGCACAATTTTATCTACTTGTATTTAAGAGATCTTTAAGCAAAGTGGACTTGCAGTTGTGACAGCTGTAATTCTGGTTCCTCTCAGGGGCAGAGAACAATTCCATACTTAAAAAGCTGCGATATTGCCTTACACAGGAAAAAAGGGAGCTTTTATTCTCCCTTCAAATATTTTGCCAACATTCATTTACAAGCTACAAAACATCTAAATTGGTTTTCCACAAGAGGTACGTGCACATCTGCCTCCACAAATACACTGCTTTAAACCTATAAGTAAAGCTTTTGAAGGCATTGCTTTAAATATCCCTTCCAAACTCCCAGACAAGCTACTTCTTGCCCTTTATTTTGTTTGTCTCAACTTTATTTTTTCCACTTGGCACATAAAGAACAGAGGAAATCAAGTGAAAACCTGACCAACAGTACAAAAGCGTATCAAATTAAAATACTTAAAGAAGCTGATCATTAACAATTTCCTCTCTCGCTTTTGCCACGCAGACCCATGAAGTTTCCTTCATGTCTTTTAAAAGGCAAGCTGTTGCCATGCCCCAGCCACCACGCGCACTGGGACGCTGGAGCCCGTATCAACCTCAGATGGGACCCACTTGGGATCGCTGGCCGAATAATCCCTAGGGCGTACCACTGCTTTTCTACCAACCATCATTTTGATCCTCACAACGCACACCATAAAATCGCTAAAAAGCCAGCGCAAGCCCCTGTTTCTTTTTCAAATAACTACTGATTATTTGGGTTAGCCCCTTACTAGCAAACAGGACAGCCAGCCCCGTCTCCGACATGCCGTGAGGCTGGTGGTATACCCGGGCTGGTGGTATACCCAGCCACTTTGCCCCATATTGCCATTCTCTTCACCTTACAATTAAATCTGCACCACTATATTAATTTCCACATGACTCTGTGCCAAATTATAACTGATCAAGAGTAAAGCAACCATCCATAAATGAGTGCACAGTACTCACAATATATCATGAATAAAGGTCACCCGGTGCTACCACCAGAAATGTACCAAATTGAACTTACAAAACATACTCTGGTTCCCACAACTAATTTGATCAAACTGAGTTCCTTCACATCTTTTATAAAACACCATATGGATGCACTCACCTAACCAACCCTTCATCGGGTTCCTTTAAAACAGCAGCAAACTAGGCCAGTATCTAAGAATTTATATACTCTTTCAAGACTAACCTCAGTGTTCTTGCATTGTGGTTCAAACTATCAGTAGTCTGTGTGGAAGTAGATAAAAGCTCAGAAAAGTGTAAAAAACCCTTAAGATAATTAAAAGCAGTAAAACCAAAATTAGATATGTCTTAGGTTTTCCTGTCTATGGCAGCAACTTGTCTTTTGAAGGCCGACACTGTTTCACATTGACAGCATCTCTTTAATCTTGCATGTGAAGAATAAGGGCTCAAAATACTTTATTTATTTTGGTGTTGGAAAAAGAGGCCGGAACAGAAGAATGTAATTATGGAGATTCCTCAATATTAAAATGGCTTATCTTGCCACCCTGTTTATACTCTCCAGCCATCCCTCCCACGGGCATTCAGCATCTGCAGTTAGCATGACCAGCCTGACTCCAACATGCACTTTCTTCCAGGCTATAAAGAACAAATAAACAACTGAAGCAGATCTGCTAAACAGCAATCAGAGCATGGAAGTTTTCACAGGCAGAGGAGGTGGGAGAGCACAGTCTATGGCTTTGGTTTCGTGGGATCTGGGCAGAATTAGAAACAGCTGAGACCATGGGACTGCAGACTGGTAGAGCCACAAGAGAGGACATCTGTCCCACCCCCAGATGCTGGGATCGAGGCTATTCCTTTGATCTCTGCTAGTCTGATCCTGACTTAGCCTTCAGCTGTCAGGTAGCCGACGCTGGTGAGTCAGATGCTACGCTGGGTAGGAAGGGTGAGAACAGGAGGGGACCGGGCTAACTCATGATTAATTCCATTTGCAAACCACTCATCCCTGCACCCGACCAGAAGCAGCCTCAGACAAGTTATTGCCTGACCAAGACACACCTGCTATTCCCTTCCTATATCTGATATTAACTCTGCCCATCAATTTATGGCAACAGGAGAAAGTGGGCCAAACCCCTACACTCCCAGCTGCCTGCTGGAGTGACTCAGTGGGCTCCTGGAAAGTGCATTTCCAAACAACCTGCCTGCCTCATTGGGAGACAGAAAAGTGACACACTAGATACAATGCGTGATTCTCCTGATGAGCTGGTATAATACCTCTGTTTCATCAAGAAACTTTTAATGCCAACTTCACAAGTTTCACTCGAGAACACGCCCTAGGCATGAACCACGCCACGAGATAATCCTTTCCTCAGAGTCTGAGCAAAGGGAATCCCTTTTTAAGGGTAGCTAAGGACCAAAGTACAGCAGGACAATGGGAAAAACAAGACACAACAAGCAAGGCTGAACTGCAGCCTCTTAGAAAAGAAAGCACTCACACAACCGTCTAACTACACGTCACATAGGGCTGGGACCAAGCGCCACCATCCTGGAGAGCTGGACGTTTGTCAAAGCTACAACCCTGTCATCTCTTTTATTCGTACACCGATGAAGTCTCAGGGAGAGGTGGTCCTCTCATTAAGGGCAGCATAAGTTACCAGAAAAGGCAGTAACTGGTGAAGAGATACTGTTATGGGCCTCAACCAATGTTCAACGAGGAACTTTGCACTGCTGAAGGCGGGCACAAACAGCAAGCACAGGGTGCAACTGCTGTTGTTTTCTTTGATAACAAGAAAAGATGGTTCTGATTATGTGATGGCTTCAGAGGTCAATCCTCCTCCAAGACACTCCCTCACATCATTTAATAAAAATAGCAGTATTGTAATAAAAGCCAATATTTAGCCCTGGGAGACTTTTGAGAGTTTGAAAGAATTTCTTCCTTGTGCTGCTTCAGTTCCAATAACTCACACATAAACATCCTGCTCCCTTCTTCCAAACCCTCCCAAAACATAGTCCCAGGCTAAGAGAAGTATGCTGAAATTCAATAAGCTGTATGTTTCAGGAATGGGGAGACTGGACCAAGCTGTAACTTCTATAGTAGACACTGCAATTAGCGAAGGGAAGCTGCTACTTTGTGAAACAGTAGTATTGCTTCAGGAAATATCTTTCTCTGACTCTGAGATTCAGTTATTTTCATCCATATAACTCAGGGGTTAACTGTTTAAATAAATCCATCATTCTGTTTGCCAATAAAAATGATGATGTAGTACTTGCCCCTAGTCAGTCAGGGGAAGGGGAGGGAAAAAGAGCCTGGATAAGACCTGTTTTAATTAAACAAGTGTTAACAAATGTGAAGCTCAAAAGGAAGAGGAACTAGACTTCATTCAATGTAGAGCAGGTGACAGAAGGTTGGAAAATGTCTTTGTTGACTCACATAATTAACATCTAATAAGTTTTCTAAAACGCTATAAATCAAGACACATTTCAGGCTACAGCAGCGTATCTTTCAATTGTGGCCGCTTAACTCCATGCACTTTGCCAAACCACTTACATGCTTTTATCCTCCAAACAACTGTTAGGAGGATGATTAATTCTTTTTTTAAAAAAAGAAAAGAAAAAAAAAAAAAAAGGCATCTTACCTTTGCAGAGTCATGTTCAAATTGCCCGTACATGCCTTGATCTTGTTTTGTGCTTCTAGATGAGTCATCCCATCCGTACTTATCCCATCAATGGTGAGAACCACATCACCTATTCCCACATGTGCTCGGGCCGCCTTACCACCATCGTTAAGCTGAAACATCACAAGAATGGTAAATGAGAAACTCGTATGGTTTATGTCTATAATCTCTGAACATAGGAACACAGTATCTTACTCACAGTACTGTTTCATAGAAAGAAAAAGAAAAAAAAATATTTTCTCCTTTGTGAGTATGCCCCTGTGAAAGTTAGTATACTATCTTTCTGTCTGGTGAAGTAATATCTACAGGGGCTTGTTCTTATTTCACTTGAATGACAGGAAAGTATTGCACGGTATTGCCTATTTTTCAAAAACTCCACGTCTACTTTACTGGCTGAGCGCTGCACACACACACCCCAAGAGACACAAGCAGGGATAGGCAGTTTCCGGGATACCAAGTTACAGCCTCTTATCTCTTCATATATGAAATATTTCTCACAAGAGGAGAAAGGAAGGCCGTAAACCAGCTTTTTCAATTCTAGATTTTTCCATCTGAACAGTCTCTTCAAAGTTTATGTATTTGTCAACGACTGGTCACGTGCACGGAAGACTTCATTAATAGTGAAGACGACACTTCCCCAGCTGCAGCTACTAGAAAGTCAAAAGTTCAATGTCACAGACAGACCAGTTACGGGACTCCGTTTTGCCTTTCTCTCAATAGGTTTATAGCCTCCAGAGACCCACAGTATATTCAGAGCAGAATAAGAAAGGCTTCTTGAGCAGTCTGCATCTTTGATCGAGGTCACTGCCAAAGTTCAGCTCCATTGCCTTTGGTCCACTTGAATGAAATATCTTGCAACAGAAACCTTTGTAAAGTTCACATTATTGACCTCCATTGAACAATAAATTAATCTTTTCATCGGATGCCACTGAATTTCAACTAGTTTCGTTCCCAAGAACAGAAATAGAAACAAAGCAACACATGGTAAGATCTATGCACTGATTTATATCCTTCATCCTCAATCTACTAATCACTTCATAGCTGGCTGAAAAGAGCAGTCCTGGATGGCGCAAATTCCCTCTTTGTTTCCAGATGTATTTCCTGTCCTAAAGCACAGAAGTTGTAGCTGCTTGTGTTGCGCATACAAAACCTCACAACTCTTTCCTTTGCCTGCAAGCGTGAGTGGGTTCCTTGAGGAAAGTGCTACGTTTTAGGGAGGTGCCGCAAACAGCAGAGTTACCCTCATTTCCAAGGGTGGAGTTCACCTTGGGCCACAGTTGTGCTTGAGTAAGCAACTTCTCAAAAGGAGGAAGAAGGCAGGCTTTCACCTCTCTTGTTTTTTAATCACCTCCGGTTTAGTTCATTCAGTAGGGCCCAAGAAGTTTTGTTTCCTTCTGGTTCCTTTTGACAATGACCAACCACAAAGTACAGTCACCAGTCTCCACAGAGGCTAGGTCTTTAAAACTGTCCATGGCCAAGGGGTAGAAACAGGTGAAATACTAGGGAACCCAGTCTTTGCATTTGGGTATGAACAGTCACCTGTCAGTAAATCTGTGGAAAGTGTCCTATCAGCCTACCTGATATGGTTAAGGCTTTCCAAAAATCTCAGAGACTATGATACATGACAGCTGTGACATGCGGATTGGACAGCACCTGAAGACAAACACTTAGAGGAAGAGGTATTGCCTAATGCTGCAAGACAAATGCAAATGCAATACTCCAAAATATATAATTTGTCAACATATAGACTGAAAGCAGGGAATTTCACATTCAGTGGGTCACGGCTGGCATTTTTAAACATCAATGTCCCACAGACATCTGCAATCGCAGTCTTTAGCAACTAAAAAAAATAGCCAAACATTCAAACAAAACCAGAAAAAACCTTCCATTTGGTGTTAATCCTATGCTATCATATATGTTAGTCTAGCGAAGGGGGAGGCTGGGATGCAGGAAGACTTGTCATCTTTCAGATTCAAAATAGCAACCAGTACCTCAGCATTATAGGTCAACAGAGCAATTTTACCCAGAGTTGAAACCAACGGGTGCTACGAAGGGAAAGTTAGCAGAGCAAGTCCCATGCAAGGAAGAAAAGTAGAAGACAAAGAAAAAAGGAAATGCACTAATTTCAGAAAAACTTCTTGACTTGCTAAATTCATCACAGTTACAACTTGTATGGTGCATCCTTTTACGAAAGGCTTCAACAACAAAGCCAGAATTCCTCCAAAATTTGGTGTTCATACCCAAACTCTGAGCTAAGAGACCTGGTTACAATAAAACACATATCAGGGAACCCTACAAGCATATAGAAAGCTATGACCAGCACAGCTATTTATAGGGAAGCTCCTCAAACCTTTGGGCGAGGGGTGGAACCTGCCATAAACAGATCCCTAAACCAATACGTTATGGCATGCTGACATTTGCCAGCAAGGTCTGGAAAAGGGAAAGGAACGTAAGGCCGCTAAAAGCTAAAGGTCAAACGGATCACTGTGCTTTGTGATTGGACGGCTGAAGTGATTAAAATCTAGCTTTCCCCGAATGTACCCAAATGTGCATGATGTTCACGCATCGTAATTCGTGATGAAAAAAGCAGCCTACGCACATTCAGCAGTAAGGCTTCAAAAGCAGGCTTCAGGGTGACTATTTTCATGGGGGGCAGAGGAAGGCCTTACCATCCAAAGTAGTATAAAATAAAACAATTAATTTAAAAAAAAAAAAAAAAAAATCAGTTTTTTTGATTGATTCCGGTGGCCAGCACACAACAACCCACAACTAATCACCTTACTTTCAAGAGGTCACTCTTAAACTGTTGCCTACTCGGGATGAAACTCTTTGCAAGTACACATGGGAGACAGCTGTAAAATCACTTCAGCAAAACCCCCAGCTGAAAATCCCTGAAACATATGGCTGGAAAATGTGCTCTGGAGATGGGGAAAAAAAGTAGGCAGGTCCCAAGAAGCGTGACGAGCCCCTGGCTATGACCATGAGACCTGCCATGCAGGGAGGGGACTGGATCTGCCTTATAGGTGAGGCTGTCACAGGTAGACCTGAACAAACAAATGACTGGACAAGAGGGTGAAGAACTGCATGTACAGAGGGATCCCAGAGCAGTAACCTCCTTATCTAGATACAGTGAATAAGACTTCCAAGTAACACCTACAGATTTCAGATAAGAGATCTGACTAACCAGGAGAGGTGAGGTTGGTACTTCCAGGAAATCTCAGCCAAAGCACGCGTCTTCCCTGAGAGTCCCAGCCAGCACCCTTGGCTTGTGAAGGGCCTATAATGGAGTTGGACTGGAGCTACAAGGCCAGAGTTTACCACAGATGCAAGAGGAATATAATCACAAGAACAAGTACATAAAAATAAACAAACATCTACACTGAACACAGCAGGAGAAATTAGAACACTTGAAACAATTAAGGATCGTTTCCACACTGCAGAAATATTCAGCCCTGGTTTTGAAACTTCTTAGATTTTGTAAATTCATATAAATACTTAGGATTATGTATGCAAAACTGTGTACATATTTGAACCAAAACTGAAAGAAAGGTCCCTCATATTCCTTGCCACAATGAAAACTAACTCCTTTTTTCTTTTTTTTCGCTTAGATTTTGAAAAATCCAACAGATTAAGAACATACAATAAGATGTAGGTGCTACTATATAGGAAATTTTGAAATGGTATCTATAAATCATTACTACTTTTGTACCATTTTTTTTTGTCCTGTATGAGTGACTTTGTTTTTAAACCCCAAATTTAACCTTAGTTTAGTAAAATCATCTGGCATCGATCACTGGTGAACTACAGTATCACCTGTGCTTAAATACCAAAAGACTAGTAAACTGATGGACAAAGGCAAAAAGAATACTGAATGCTTAATTCCTAGTAGGAAAAAGGCATATCCTTAAAACACACCATTATTAAACACACATGTGGAAACAAATGGAATCAATGCAACAAGACATATGCACAGAAGAGTTAAAACATTAAAATTATGAAACTGGCTACCTGTGAATCAAACAAACTTCTAAGCACCACCAATACTCTTGAAATCCTTGACAGATCTGCTTTAATTCTACATTTACAGCACGAGGCAAGTTTTTAAAATCAAGCATGAATTACAGCTACAAAAAACAGGACTTGTTTTGATGTTAACCACCAGACTTTAAAGCTACAAAACTGCCAAACCAGAAATGTTTCCTCCTACATAGTTAGTTCCCTGTCTCTGTACTCTGGGAAGCTCATTTGGAGACCAAGGGGGAGGAAAGGAGGAGAGACATTTCGTGAGCAGGCACCTGCTGAGGCCAATCACCCCCGCAGCCCCCAGCAGCAAAACCTCTTTTCCGCCCCTCAGCAGCAGCCAGCTTCGTGGCCAAAAGCCAAAAACCAGCCCATGCCATCCAGAGATGCTCAGGACGCTTTCTAATAAACATAATCACCAATCTAATATTAGATTTCACTTTTGTTTGACCAAAAAAAAAAAAAGTTTTGTTATTCTTGTTGTTTTCAACATTAGAATTCCAAAACTTAATATTGTTCTAAAATACGTTCCAAATAGAGATAAACCAAAAGTAAACCAGTTCTTGATCCAGCCTGATGAACTTCAGAAGCAACAGTATAAAAAGTAATCTCAGCATAGTTCTACGCCTCAGGTTTTTGAACGCAAACAACCCAAAACACACTGGACTACAACTGTTTTCTTGAGCTAAATTTTAGCCAGCCTTTTATTTCATTTTGCAATAGCCAACATCTAAAAAAAAAAAAAAAACAACAACTGATTTTTTTACTATTACTGTCAAGCTTTAATGAGTTATTTTAAAAGATCCTTTCCAGGAAAACTGCATGTGTGCACATACATGCGCATCTATCTCTGCATCAATGTAATTTGTAGCTTAACTCATTTCCAATTAATTTATAAGCATCTATTCCTCACACCATGACGAAGAAAACTTGACAAGCATCTCTTCTTTGAATTGTCACTATTTAGCCTTCATGCAGTAATAAATGAAATACATACATTGCAGTTACCCTCAAGACAAAGGTCTATTTGACTAGAGATGGAAGCTGCCTTTTATCTTCTCCACGCAATCTGCCTTGAATTAATCTCTAGCTG